GGGCATGGGGGGGCAGGCTCAGGTTGTGGTGTGGGGGGACAGACTTTGACTCTGAAGAACCGAAAGGCAGGGCAGGGCTGGAGGCACTTGGCTCCAGGTGTGCCCCTGGCCTGTCCACCCTATCGGTGCCTCGTGACCCTCTGTGGGCAGCACTAAGGGAGAGGGTGCTGCTGAGAAGTGGTGAATGGCTGCCTGGTGTGGGGTGCGGAGAATCTGGGTGGGGTGGGGTCTGTGTGGCGGGAAGGGGGGCTGTGGGGGGCACTCACCGTGGAAGGCCCGCAGGTAGTTGTTCCCCAGGTACACCAGGTTCTCCAGGGCGGGGTTAAACTGCTCCAGGATGCTCTGGACCCCAGGCAGAGGGAGGGTGAGGATTGGGAGGAAGAAGGAATGATGGGCAGAGGCGAGTCATTGGGCCTCAGGAGCAGGGCACCCCTAGCCCCGTGAGAAGCCTCCAGAATCTGGGGGAGCCAACCTAGAAACCTGGGGTCAACCAGAATCTTGCACGGGCCTCAGAGGCCATGTCTGTTCAAGACCAGGGCCCCCCGGCCAGCTCCTGCTCACACACCTAACCTGGAGGGTCCCGAGCCTCCGCTGGTTGAAGCCTGCCAGTCCGTCGCAGTCCCCAGCTGGGCACAGTTCAACCCAGGCCTGAGTCCAGGCCTCGCTGGACTGGACACACAGGCTGCCCACAGTCACCTCAGAGGTGAGGGAAGATCTTGCCTCCCCTCTAAGAAGAGCCTTCTGGGAGCAAGGCCACCCCAAGCATGGCCCGTGGGAGGGCATCCGGTGGTGGAGATGATCTGCACCTGGACTTGGGTCTTGTTTCAAATCCCTGCAGCCCCTCTGCCTCGCTTGGCGCCATGAACAAGCTGATTAACCTCTCTGGCCTCAGAGTTCTCATCTACCAAATGGGGTGATCAGTTTTGACCCCACGGGTAGGATGTTGAGAGGCCTCCTGTGCAAGGGGCCTGCACACAGGTGCTCGATAAGGGTCTTTGGAAATGCAGCCACCCCTCTGCAGTGAAGTGGGGAGTTTGAGAGAGGGGCTCAGAAACGACAGAGAGACAGACAGAGAGACAGACACTCCCCACTCCCCGGCGGCGGCTCTTGGGGCCCTGCTCCAGCTGCAGCTGGGCCCTGTCCTGCCTCACCCAGCGTCTGGGAGGCGGAGGCTCCTGCTGAGACCGGCTCAGCAGGCCCGTGACTCACTGGGTGACTGTGGACAACCCCCTGCCCGGGAGCCTCAGGTTGGGGCTGGGGTGACTCGCCTTCCCTGCCAGCACACGCCGCAGCCACGCTCAGCCTGTCCTCCGGAGCTGGCCCGGCCTCTGCTGCGGTGCTCACCTTGTAGATGGCCATGGTGGACCTGTAGAACTGGTCCATCTCGGGGGCCATGGAGCGGCTGCGCCGGGGCTGAGCAGCAGGCTGGTGCGCAGGGCTGGGAGCACCGGGTCGGTACCGTCTGTCTGTCCGGTGCCCACTGCTCAGCGGTGGTGGTGGAGGCTACAGACTGGGACCTAGAAATGGAGGGCCGGCCAGGAGGAGGCGGCAGCTTAATTATTCACCAGCCGGGATGTCAGCCTGCGATCTGGGGCGTAACCGGACCCGGGGGAAGGCATCCTGTGACGCGGGCGGGCTCGTGTGACCTGCCTTCAATTATTTACCCCTCGGAGCGGCGGCTGGTGGCATGTGTGGATGAGCCTCTCCGAGGTCACCGCCACCTCCAGGCCCAGGCCCCGCCAGGCCAGGCGGGACCCCCGGCTCTGGGAGGACCCCTGCCCACCGAGGGGCTAGGACTGCTGGTCGCCCTCCCCCAAGACCCTCCCTGACAGCCCCCTGGAGGCTGAGCACCCAGTGGGGGGTCACTGTTGTCAGCTTCCTGCTCTCCTCTGAGCCCCTCAGACCTGCACCTCGAGCGCCCAGCCCACGTCCGCTGCTGCCGTCCAGCCCCTCTGCATGCTGGACAGGGGACAGCACCGCCTCTGATGTCGCACAGACCCGGGCAAACCTTGGCCCTGCTCGCTCACTGTGTGACACCGAGCCCCCGCCCCCTCTGGACCTCACCCGCTCCTGGAAAATGGGTCTCCTCTTGCCTGCCTCCACTGGGGCAGGTGGGCCTGGGGCCCCCTCAGAACGCCCTCCCCAGCCACATGTGGGGAGGCCTGGAGGAAAGGGGGTCCCCCCGCCCCAGGGAGCTGGGAAACAGCAGCCATGTGAGTGGGCACAAGAAGACGAGGGTCAGGCTGAAGGTCAAGGCTGCGGGAGCTGGTGGGTGGGGGGACTCACACCACAGTGCACGCAACGCAGGGCAACCGGAATCAAACCGTTTATTTCACAGCTTGGGGCGCCCCGCCCCATCATAAATCACTGTCCAGGGGAGAATCACAAGTCCAGGAGCAGCCGTTGGGAGCTGAGGCAGCTCACAGGCGGGGCAGCCGAGGTGCAGGTGGCGGGGTGGGTACTGAGGTGCAAAGTTGAATGGGGCACCCTACTCCCGAGTGTGGGATCCCTCTGCTGATGGGGTGGATGGTGGCCAGTTTCTGTAGCTTCTCCAGCCCCACCCCCAGGGCAGAGGGCAGAGGGCAGATGGGCGGCTGCACCCCAGAGGACCGGAGGAGCCCAGGGCTGGGCAAACGAGGGCGCCCTTAGTGTCTGAGTGAGAGGTGGAGGGGGTGGCTGGGCGGGGCTTAGGGGGACAGCAGCAGCTGGATGAGCTTCTGGAACTGCTCCCGGTGCTCGTGAATGTACACCTCGGTCTCCCAGAGGGCGTTGACCAGCACCGTGTCGCTCACCTCGTCCAGCATGATGTCTGTGCCCAGCTGGGGGTTCAATCTGCCCAAGTCAAGGAGGAGGGGTCACCCCAGGACTCTTAGCCTGGGTGGGGGAAAGGAATGTCCCTGCCAAGGGCTGGGTGGGGAAGGCCGCCGTGTCTGGCCAGCCAGGGGGTGGGGCTGGGGCTGAGGGCCGGCCCTCACCTGAAGTACTGGATGCCGACCATCTCGCACCAGGCCCGGGCCCGGTCCACGGCCCGCCCGTCCGGATCCGTGCACTGGGGAGAAGCAGCCTCCGTGAGCACCCAGCCCACCCACAGCCCCTGCCCGGACCCCCTGTCTGGCTCAGCCACCCATCCGCAGAGGGACTTGGGCAAGTCCCCTCCCTGGGCACAGTGACTGCCCCAGCTGGGCAATCGAAGGGGCAGGGCCTGGGGTTCTCCCAGGTGGCACAGCGGCACCACCGAGGGTCAGGGAGTGTGATGGGGCCACATGGCTGAGTGGACAGCCTCCACGCCCCGCCCCCTGCAGCCTTTGCCGTCAGCTATTCCACAGCTAAGATGCTGGAGCCCCTGCTCAGGTGGTCACAGGGTCCCCGCGGCACCGACGGAATCAGGACCCCTCCCTGAGCCGGCTAACGCGGACCCACAGAGCCCCTGACACCCGGGGACACAGAAGAGGGAGGGCGCCGTCCTGGGCTGAGGCCGGAAGAGGGGCTTGGGGAGGGGCCCATACTCACACAGTCCACCACCATTTTGCCCAGTTCCTTGGCCCCAAAAACAGTTTTCGCCAGTTCCCAGGGGTTGCTGGGACGGAAGACGTCCACACAGGTCACGGGTACCTGCGGGGACTTCCCTGTCCCCAGAGAGACGACGATGGAGAGTTTCTTCACCTTGCTGCCCTGACCCTGTTGGGGACAGGACTGGGTGGTCAGAGGAGACCTTCCCCGGCGGACCTTCGCGGGGGAGTGAGGTCTCGGAGGGGCCCTGGGGGAGCGAGAAGAGGTGGCGGCGCCTGTGGAGGAGCGGGGCTTGGGCTGCCTCCTTTGCTCGGCAGGAGCTGTGCTGCCCGGAGTCACTCCACCACAGGAGCGGCTTAGAGGATGTCACAGGACCTTCCTCATCCCACAGCCTCCTCCCCCAGGAAGCCTGCCCTGCCAGGCCTGGCCCCTAGAGGGCGCTCACCCTCTGAAGGCAGAGCCCCTGGCTCGCCACCCAGTGTTGCATGAGCTTAGTGATGACCACAGTGGTGACCACAGCCAGCAAGGCCATGGCGCGCTCGGGTCAGGCGCTGTCCTGAATGCTTCACAGGGAGGAGCACAGGGGAGCCTCCTGACCATCCCCGGCCCCTGCTACCAGCCCCGCACTCAGTGGCTGAAGGGGAGGGCGGGCAGAGCCAGGGCCCAAGCCCAGAGGCAGCTGCCCCACTTGTTCCGACCGGGCTCGGAACCGCTCTCAGCACAGTGCTGCGGGCAGACACACTGGCCAGGCAGTACATGCGAGACAAGGCTGCTGCTGAGCGCCCGGGCAATGACCACATGGGAAACCCGGATCTGCTGAGCAGAGGGTTGTCGGACCTGAGGTGGCTCTCACCTTGCGGATCATGTCCTGGTTGTACTCATGGATCTCGGTCATGGCGTCCAGCGTGGGGTTGTTGGCCAGCAGCCCGCCATCCAGGTAGCGCCCACTCGGCCGGAAGTAGGTGGGAGCTGCCCCACTGCTCCGGGCTGCCCGCCACACCAGCTGCTCTGAGGGTGGGGAGGAGGGAGGGTGGCCCAGTGGGACAAGGGACTGGTACAATTTCCGAGCTCTTCAGATCTCAGTGTGTGTGTGTATGTGCATGCGTGTGTGTGCCTGTATGTGTGTATGCACGTGTATACATATGTGCATGTGTGTGTGTGTGTGGCTGCAGAAGAAGGGAGAGGCTGGGAACTCTTCAGGAACAGGCCCAGCAAGGCATGCTGTCTGTCCCCCTCCTCCCCCGTGGAAGGCGGGGTGCAGCTGAGGGCCTCCTCTAGCTGCCCGGGGCTGACAGCTCCCCACTCTGGCTGTCCTCAGCCAATAAAGACGCAGGGCAGCAGATGGGAGGGGGTGGGCTGGGGGTGCCAGTGACGAGCCTATGACTCCCACCCGCACCCCACGCCTCGCAGGTCAGTCGCTTCCCACAGATGTGGCAAACATGGTGTGAACCTGAGGGCCGAGTTGGAGGCTTGAGGTTAATGTTCTGGCTGCAGCGAGGCTCCCGCGCACACTCCGGGGCCTCGTAATTGCGGAAGAGGTGGAGTTCAGCCGGCTGCCGGTCCGACAGCGTCCCTGTCAGCATCACCCTGGAGAGAAACAGGAACAGGACGCTGAGGTCGATGACTGCCCCCCGGCAGCCCACTCCCCCCACCCCGCCCGCCCGGCAGCCCGTCCTCAGCCGCTCTCTCCCGCACGCACGTGTGGAGATGGGCGCCGGGGGCTGCTAACGGCAGCAGCATTTGTTCAAGCACAAGACTGGCAACAACGGAACTGTCCACGTGCTGGCCGGGTCGCTGCCCGCGGTCCCCACCCAGTGGGGCCTGTGCCGCTGCAGAAGGATCAAGCAGCTCTATGTGCCGATGGGCACTGAGCACCGAGATTTGTGGCCAAGTAGAACCAGGCTCAGGACAGTGTGTGATATGCCACCATTTACCAACAACAAATCCCCAAAAAACCCATGTGCCTATTTGCTTGGTCGGAGGGAACTCTGAAGGGCCACGAGCGGCACTGGGGACAGGGGGCTGCAGCTCAGGAGACCTCCCGTGTCCCCTGTGGTCCCCCTTCAATGCTCTATCTGCCAGGAGAGTCTATTGAAGAAGATCCCTGCTTGTCTGAGACCAGACATCCTTAAATGCGGTGGGGAGTGCAGACCGGCACAGCCCCCTGGGAAATCACATGTACGGAGACTCATCAATGTCCTGGCTCTCTGGCCTGTAAGCCACGTTAGGAAATCTCCCTAAAGGAATAATCTAGTCACAGCGCAGGCTTCCGTACACGGCTGTCGTCTCGTTGCCATGTATTACTGTGAAAAATGAGCCCATCGAAGCAGGACAGCAGAAGAGAGTGAAGTGCTGTTTCAGAGGTACACTTGCAAGGGGGTCAGAGTAACACAGAAACGTATTTGTTATATTGTAAAGCTAGATATAAAGGGAAGGGAACAACAATCTCTGCACAGGAAAAAACGTTAGTTTTCCATTTCTGGGAATACTGTGGAGAGGTAATTTGAACAATCTTCCCACTGGAAAAAATTAAAAGCTGGAAAAGATACATTTTTTAAAAATCTACTTAAAAGCACAGACCCAACAAGACAAAGGGAATGCCAGGTAAGTCCCGAGGAAAAGCAAGGACCCAGAGAGGTAAGTGAGCACAGACCCAGCTTCGGCCTGAAGCCAGAAACCAAACTCAGTCCATTTAAGCTTCAGGGTTGATGGCCTCCTGGGGCCAGAGGGACAGAGTCGAAGTCCAGGGCCCACCAAAGGAGAGACCCTCCCTATATTAGGGGAACTCCAAAGGGCTATACTCTTGGGAAAGGTAAACCAGAAATAAACCTGCCCTTTCCCCATCCCTGCAGGCATAGCCGGCCACAGCCCAGGCCCCTGCGCAGGCTCACTTGGGCTTCTTGATGTCTGTCATCTTGGTGTGCTCGCCAAACTCCCGCTTCAGGAACTCCTCCAGGGGCCCTGACTCGTAGGGCCGCGAGCCCCGGAATACCTCGTCCTTCATGCGGAAGTACACGCCACGCATGTAGACCATGGACTTGCCTAGGAGCGAACGGGTCGGAGGGGGGAGGCACGCCTGA